TCTGTCATGATCACCACATCCGGACAATCTACGGTCCTTGTTGCTTATAGCGTCCACCACATGAGCTTGAACTAAAGAAGATGATGAGGATGCTTGATCGTAACTTGTTCCACAATCCCAAATGTTCTTATCCTGAGATCAGACAATTTGAAATTAGAGATAATCAAGTGAAAATCAAGGGTTTTCAATAAAAAGATCAAATCTTAGTTATAAAACGTAGCTATATATGGAGTATGAATTAGTAAGAAAACCCATCAAATCAATTAATTATGAGAACATCAGGAAATTATACAAGTTTCATTATATATGGACATGTCAAAGAGAGAAGAATCACTTAAGGGAGGATCAAGAGCCATAACAAATAAAATTTCAATACAAAAATAAACGAGGAAAATATATAATTTGATTTATGTACGTTGGTTTCTTAATTACCTTGTGATGATATAGTTGTGATTGATGATGAGCAAGAGAAGTAAAAGTAGTCCCAGGAGTTTGATCTTGCAAGGAGTCGAAGAAAGTAGGAAATGGGAAAGAAGTACATGAAGCAGCTTCATCATAGGGTGGTGATATAAAGAGCTTTAGGCGTTGATCTTCTGCTTGCTCCACCATGGAGAAAGGAGAGGATGCCGGGTTCAGATACACTGGTGTCATCATGGAGGAGAGAGAGAGAGAGAGAGATCACAGAGAGATCTAGAGAGAGAGAGATAGGTTAAATGGGTGTTGTTGTGTCCAGCAAAGGAGGAGAGAGAGATAGGGTAAGGCTGATCAAAAGGGCCTGATACTCAGAGGACTCTTATAAGGGGAAAGGGCAAGAAGAAAAAAGAAGAGAGCCCTAAATTGAAAGCCATTCACGTGACTTTATGTCCAGATAGCAGCCAGAAAAACAAGAGCTGCTACAAAATGACAAATTTAAAGGAGGTGTTGAAGGCTACTACTCACAATTCTACGCACACGACACTACAGTATATATGTATGACACCCCCCCTATTATTACTTTTATATTAGTTAATTCAAAAACTTCATCAAATACATACCACAACAGGCCATAGAATATATCATTTAAAATACATATAATTTGTTTTGTGCGAGTGTGTGTGGGTCTGGTGCATTTTAGGGTTTAAGGGTTTACATATGCACACTCATCACTGGCTTTTTGGGTTTGTTGAGTTGAGAGTATAAATTTTCACATCGATTCTGAATGTGAAATTTACATCGCATAACAAAAATATAGAATTTTAGAAGTTGTTTATTTTTTTTATTCTGCCAAATTGATAATGAATATATGGAGAGACTCAGATTTTATATACTATTCTACAACACATTCTCGAGGTGTAGAATTTATCTACGTACTCGATATTTCCAAATCAAGCTGTACGATTTTAAAAGAAAAATTGATGACAAAAATGAAATCTAGAAAACAGTGCAGATATATATATGAAGAGATGGGTATGGAATGGAATTTGGATAGCCTAAGCAGATGGAGGGCGTCTCCCATCCTTAGTGTTGCCAAAAAGTCATCAAATGCTGGTACAGGCTAGAGACAGTGACGACCTCTTAGTCCCCCACACCTTTTGCCATCAGCCTTCTATTTGCTCTGATATTTTCATCTCTCTTTTTTTTACCATGCCTTCCCCTTCAGATTACGTACTTTTTATCCTTTCATATATATATATTTGTTTACGTGCAAGTCTCTTCATTTTGCTTATCTTTCTGGCATTTTCTAATTTCCTAACCTAGAATGCCCAAAGAGAGTGACCAAAATATCATGACCTGTATGCTCTGCTTCAGTTAATGATGAGGGCTAGTTTTTTTATACTCATTCTTGCAGTCTCACAGGATTTTTTCCATTAATGTTCTTGTATGCTTCTTATTCCCTTCTTTTCAGACAAAAATCTTTGCTATCTTAACTACTTGATGTTACTTATTTATTAATTTCTTTTTTACAGTTTAAAAATATATATATTCCAGGAAGAGAAACCCTCTTTTCTGTTTTTGCTTACACATGAACCAGTAAATTTTGTTCACCAATACTAGCAAGCAGTAAAAAACCTCCAAACCCACACACAGGGACAAAAACAAAAACTACCCCCCAAGCCAAGCTAGATCTTGGTCACAGGATAAGAGATGCAGGAAATCCAGAAGATATGTTAAATTTACCTTGGTCAATTAATTATACATATGGACAATGCATACATAGTTAACAAAGACAGGAAAAAAAAAAAAAAACAGAAGAAGGGAAAACCCATTGCTGCATGCGTGGCAGGCATCTGAGCCACTTGATCAAATCACATAACCCATGAAATATCTGATCCCATCTTATATCATTAAGAAGATCGAAGACAAAAAAAAGTTCTAACTCTAATCCTAAACCATGATTCTGAGATACCTAATCAACATCAATAAGTGACCTTGATCACAAACAAACGTTAACTTGGGTTTGGCACAACCTGAAGAAAAATCAACACGTTGACAACCTGAAGAGAGATATCTCTCGACCAAGAAAGATTGATTGAAGGCCAGATAAATGTGCATATATAATTTCTTTTTCTTTTTTGTTTTTTTTGGTTTTTTTTTTTTTTTTTGAGATGAAGAAGGATGCTACGTATGATGAGTTGTGTGAGCAAGTCCTGGGCACGAATGTTTGAAGTTGATTGGTGGATTATTTTTGTCACCATATTGCTGCAGCTATAACATGTAGCTCACTCAATGTTATATTTCGCATGCAACAAAATCTGCCGGATCATTTCTTGCCATCGTGTAGTTATCAAAATCTTGGTTTTATTTCGAATTGAGTGGCCAAATTTTGATTTTGAGCTACATGACAGTTTGTCTGTAGTCCTTGGTGTTGGTGGTGGCATCGATCTGTTGGCTTAAACTGTGTGGTGGTGGTAGTAGCTGATCAAAGGAAACAACAAAACATTCATCTCCAACCTCATGTTTCGTTATCTTTACAAATGTACAACGAAAATCAATTAAATCTTCATTTTGTGTTTTCACACTAGTACTACATGTAGCACGTATATTCCGAAGGAGAAGAATCGAACACTTAACTTTAAGTCTAAGGTTGAACGTTCTTAACCACTTGAGCCAATGCCTCGGTAACACCAACTTGAAATTGCAAATGGGTTAAGTGTAAAGTGCCTTAAGATCTTTTCAGAATCGGCCTCAGAGCCTAAAAAAGAATTGGGCTATCAGAAAACAATGCACAAACGTTCACATTTTTGGGCTTGGAAATCTGGACTCTCAAGCCCAGGGACCATAAGATAATTGACAAAATAAATAAAGAAATGTTCTCGAGTTGAGGAATGAGTTTGAAGTTTGAACCATAATGATAAATAGTACGGAATGATCTGGCATGATTACCAAGATCAAGAACCATAATGGTTACTGGTGAGCATGGCAGTTTCTTCTTTAAATTCTTTTACTCTTGAGATCTAAACATGGAAAAAATAATAATTACCCAAGAAAAAAAAGAGGAAAAAAATGAATGGTGAGACCAACTGTGGTCTGGGCCTCTCTGGCCCTAAGACGAATGCTTTCTTATTATAGGACCCTCCCTCTTCAACCCTAAGAACCTAAAACCAGTAACGAGTGAAGATGATGATGGTCCTGGACCTAAAACAGGCAGTGACCACTGGCTCTAGAGAGTCTTAGACTCTGGACCAACCCAATAAGGTGCTTTTTGGTAATTGCAAAAGCTTTCTCTACATTTCACGAATTTTACATCACAAGGCTCAGAGAAAAAGTAACAAATTTTTTATAAAAACGTCTAAGTAATTGATGGTTCAAGCAGTGTTACACCTAAGGCTAAGGTCTTCAAATAAGAAAAACTTGGTCGTGATTGGTTGTGTATAACTAATTACATTTAAGACGCAACCGATTACATTTAAAATTTTCTCACAAGACAAAAGGCATTAAATTGATGCCTTCAAGATCAAGGCATAATTAGTGGTCTTATTTTTCCCACTTGGAGATTAAAATCTAAAACTTACAGTGGAAGTTTACTAAATATCTCTTATCCAAATGGGATCATGGAAGAGATATTAAATTAATTTGGAGGGTAGCTTGGTTTAGTTTTTCAGAGTGAAAAAATTGATCCAAGTGGTACACAAGAAGGTACTGTAGTCTGCAGTCAGAGCAGAAAATGACCAAATATTTCATCAGTTTCTGATTCAATTTCAAACAGAGTTCTTATTCTCACGCAAACAAAATCTTAAAACAGAACACTTGCTGATACAAAAATTCAAACTCAATGTCTCATTTTTATATATATTATAAATGTATGACTAAAAATTTAATTTCTGAGATGGTCAATTGGACTGTGGTCCAAGTTCCAATTCTTGAAAAGCACTCAAAGCACCCACATAACTTGTAAAGACACTCTGGCATGCATGCATGAGAGAAAAGAAAAATGGACAGAAGTAGCAAAGATTCTCTTGTTTGAAGACTGCAACACCAAAAGCCTAAGAAAGCCTAAGAAAGCCAAACTGGGGCTGTGGCTAGCTTCATTGGATTCATTTTGATGGTGCAGAAACAGAGTAAATTCAGAGGTTTATGCATCTTGCAATTTATGTTTGTGGACACATCTTTGGCAGCAATTAGGTGTCCTGCCAACATGAATTTAAAAGAAGCTACCAATATCATGCTAGAGAGACTACTTTTTTTATGAGCACTTAATAAATTACTTTTGTTTTCATCTCTGTTTTTGGCTTAAAACTAGTGCAGATTCTGCAAACAATTGGCTTCATTAGATGAAGACGTAAATGGCTTTCAATTTTACCAACAAGAATTGTCATTTCAGTTCATCTACCCCCCCCTAGCTATAAACTAGTTTTCAATACTTTTTTGTTTTTGTTTTTTAACTTTTACCCAGATGAATGTAATGTTGGGCTGAACTTTGCCAACCCATTAAACAGCATGCAGGATTGATCAATCCCATGAAAATAACATAGTGATGGGTTATAATTTCTGAAAAGCCACTTGCTTAATTACACAAAAGCAAAATTAAAGCAGTGGAGGGTGTGATTAAAATGATGATTAATTTTCTTTTGGCTGCTCATTTCATGAACACTAGAAGAAGAGGATGATACCAAGACCAGCAAGAGAGGAAAAGAAAAAGAAAAAGAAAAAAAAATTAAAGTTGGGGTTTAGACATCAGATTCATAATTTCACCCACAATATTCATATCACCCATGAAAAACAGGAGTCTTGAAGCTTCTTCCTCCCTACACCTAAAGCACCTCCTCTTCTTTCTTCCTCTTTTTAACTATTTGATCATATGTACGGACACCTACAACAAAATCAGACATCATTGATCATCAGAACCATGGATCAAGATCCACTGGGCCCCACGTATTCATCACTCTCTCAAACCATTCATCATCAACAGCCTCCCCTGCATCGCAGCCGTCCATCACTCCCTTCCCAACCACCAACCCATTATTAGTATTACCACCGCATTCACTCCACGCCCCAACCCCATTCTCAGGCGAAAACCCCCCATTATTCCCGGTGGGACCCACGAACTTGATGCCGGCCATCACCGTCGACGCCGAGTCCGAAACCGAAGCCCCGCAGCTCTCGCTCTTCCCGTTCCCGACCACCAGAGACGGCGTCGGAAAACTTGCCGCCGGTGACGACGGCTTGGTAGTGTTCGTCGCCGGAGTTGGCGTTATCTCCTTGTAGAGCTCTTGCATGACCTCCTCTATCAACTCTTCTTCGATGGGCATGTCCGGCGAGAGTTGGTCGATGAGCTCCGGGAAGTTTCCGGCCATTTCATCGGAGATGGAAGTTACCGGCGAAGGAGACTTTGGGCCAGCTTCCATGCTCTCTGACTCTGACGAGAGTGAAAACAGAGCAAGCGGACTGCAGAGGAGACAACAGGGGAGTGTGTGTGTGTGTGTGAAGGAGCGAAGACAAGTGGATATAAATGGGGTTGAAAAGTAGGCGCCACGCTGGCATGGTTGTGCCACGTAGGATGGATGGGACAGGGGTGATGACGTAGGAATATTTATGTCCTAGCGAAGTGGTAACTGAAACCGAGGAATCAAAGCTGACGATTAGTACATCCAAAAGTGCTGCCTGTGCAGTCAGATTTAGCAAGATGGCTCGTGTTTCTGTGCTGCTCAGCTGTATCGCTGCTCGTGCTTACGACCGTTGACTTTTTGTTGACCTATTTGTAAGCGGATCCGACGGTCAGTGCTGGAGGTATTTGTCCGACTTGGAACACTGGTGGTGGATCTCATGTTTAGAGGACAAGACTGCCTCGGCAAACACAACTTTGCCGACATGGACGAGATTGCCCTCCCACACACAGCTGTACATTACCATAAGCAAGTCAAGTTTTTGTCTTTTTAAAGAAGCTGATTAGGGGTCATGGTTTGATAAATACAGCCAGTGCCAGTGTTTGTTGTTTGAGCAGAGCAGTGAGCACTAACTTTTTAGTTCAGAGATAAATTGTTAAAATGGTAACTTCATTCACATAACATCACAATTAAAAAAATACACTGTAATTAGGCTAAGTACAACACCAAACCTATCAGTCTTCAAATTAATCCATGTCTTTTGCACTAATACAGGTACCGTATATTCATTGTATTCTTGTATTACTGGTATTCTACATACTCACTGGCAAGGAAGATTGCCTAAGATGGAGACTCTCTGGAAAAAATCTCAGTTTATAATACATTGATTGTACAGCAAGAACCGATGAATGGATAAATGACATCGAGAGCAAGTTCATTGGCGGCTTCAGAAGAATGCTTCTTCTCTTTCAAGAAACAAGATATTGTTTAACCGAACCAGCGCTGATCTTCCTGCATTACTGGCATTTGGAGTTGCATTGTATGCGATAGCTCACTATCTGTCGTCGGGATGAAGAGTTGGACTTTTGGAGCACATACTCATTGCATGAAGCTCTTTCAGCCTACTAGCTTTGCACAAACCTAAAAGTTTTCAAGAGTTTCTCACATTAGAGCATCTTACAGATAATCACCCTTTTTAAAACATTGCCTCTTATAAATAACACAGTACAAGAAGCTATAGTTGAAAATGATCTGTTCAAAACTATCGGGAACGTTATTATTTTAAACAATCACATTCTTTTGCAAATAAGACATCCGGTGCTTTTCATTTTCTATGTCTGCAATTCAAGTTCTGGTATTACTTATCACACAGACCAGGTCAGATCAAGTGATCTAGATATATTTTATTTGAAAGGAAAATACTGACTAATGATCCTCTTTGAAGAGCATCTACACAGATCAAGTCATACGTTGTTCAGGGTTAAAGTATTAAACTAATCTATGACTCGACAAATGCAACGCCAAAGGGTATGGACTATTCCATAAAAAGAAGGTTCATCCTTGCCTAGCTTGAAAGTGCTTTTATTCTTGAACTAACCAATAATTTTCGTACATGTCGTATTGATATGCAGATCACAGACCAGAACATAAGAGTATGGTCTTATCAAAAACTAGCATAAAAAGAATTATTGCACCAGATTGTCATTTAAAAGATAACATAAGCCTTCGCCCATCTACGTTACCATACCACAAATAAATCAATGGTCTTTCAAATGTGCAGTACATAACTAGCTAGGAAATTTCTTCACAACTATATTGTGACAGATAATGTAATCACGTAACAATATTATGTTTTGGATAAAGTACCTGAACATTTTGGGATGTCCCACACTGCAATGGATGTAGGTGTGCAACGAGGGTCACATAATGCCCGATTATCCTCATGGTTGACATTCATAGCAAGCATCCACGACCCAATCGTAACGTCCTCATTGCTAAACATTCTCAAACTGAAAAATAGAAAATACATCTATCAAGCAAAGGGACATCCATAGGAAACGAAATAACAGCTTGAGAACCTCTCTAAATGAGAAGTCCAAATTTTTTCAAGAAAAGTTCTGTAGATAGCAAAACCTTTACATGAATATGATAAAACAGAACAAAGTGGATTGAAGGAGCAAGGTAGATTCATATTTTACAAAACTAAAGCCCGAGTCATGTATCACATAATTGGAGGTTCAAAAAATTAAATATATTGGCAAAAGCCATAATTGAAAGAAACAACGACTAACATAAAGAAATCAAATACAGAACAGGTGGCTGACCTGTTATTTCTAGCAATTGCCAATGATGCTACCACTTCTGCAGACAGAACATATATAGGACCATAAGCATGCCGAAAGTATTCATTCCCAATTAGATGTCCTGATTTCTCATACCTGAATAATAAATGGATGGATGATCAGAAAAAAAGAATAAATTGATCACAAAGGTAAAAGCTCTGATTACAATTTGAAAACCCATATACCATTTCATTTTAGGGTCAGTGATTACTGGTCCTTTCTTCATGCATCCAATGTAGGTTTGTGAATGCGTTCGCTCCTTGGCTAGAAGTGTTGCTAGTCGATCTGACAAATTAAGAAAACATCAGTAAATTCCAAAGTACTCATATTCACAGATTAATGAAAACATATAGTCTGGCATTACAGTATACCTGGACGCAAATAAATGTCATCATCCGCTTTGACATAGTAATCTGCTTCGAAAAGTTGAAATGCTGCTTTGAAATATGCCAACCTACAAAATAGCGTGAGAAACCAATATGACATAAACTGCCAAGAACATAAAGCCATCAATATGACAAATAGTTCAATAAAAACCGATGACTCTTACGTTTTCCATGGAAGGTTCAAATACTCTTCATTGACATCAATAACCAGAAAGTCTCTGTACTTATCTATCTCTTTCTGAACCCCCGCCATCTTCTTTGCATCTTTAGATCTCCCAATAACAAACCTAAAAGCTAAACCAGTAGCTTGTTCCAATCTACAAGAGAATGGTAGGAAAAAAAAACTATTAAAACCCCAACAAAAAGAACAACAGGGCATTTTCATCAAAGCCAGATTGTTGATCTTAATCTAGCTGAGCTGATAAACATCATAGCTAAGCTAACAAAGATCAACATCTGCATCCCATCATGTTAAGCAAACCCAGAAGTGTTATCAAACAAGTGTATTGTATAACAATAACAATATACAAAGACAATATGATCAAAACCAACATCAGAAAAAAAAATTTAGGAACTTCACTGCACAAAAACAGAAATTTACCTCAAAAGGCCATCTGGGTCAGAAGGAAACCACGTGCTTCGCAAAGCCGCACGGCGGTCAGCTGAGCCGAACCCGGTCTGAATTCCGACGAACCCAAGAAGCTTAGGCCGATCAACCAAGCCTCCATTCTTATCACCGAGCTGCCGAGAGGTCGAAAGAGAGTAGAATGCCCGGAAGGTGTCTTCCGATTTGCCGCATCGGAAAACGGGAATGGGCGCTGGGCGACGGAGGGCGGTGATGGCGAAGATGGTTCCGGCGAGGCCGATGAAGAGGGAGACGAGCGAAAAGACGATAATGGGCAGGGAAGTGCGCGTGGGGACATGGGCAGAATTGGGTTTTAGGGGCTTGAGGAGCTTGGAAGAGTAAGAGGGGGAGGTGGCGGTGGTGGTTGGGAGAGAAGATTGGCGGTGGAAAAAGAGTGGCATTTTGGTGAAATTATGGAGTGAAAGTTGGAATATTATACTAGTCTCTCTCTCTCCTCAGACTGTGCAGTGAGCTAGATCTCAGGGTTAGGGACGAAGAGAAAGAGTGACACTCAAGTCTCTCATGATCTCATCTACTCAACTGCAAAGTCTGAAGCTTTGCTTTGGGTGGAGATAGAGAGCTTAAAGAGGACGGAAGTTACCATTCTACTTGTCCCTTTCAGTTTCACTTCGCTTTCTTTATTTTTTGGGTTTTTTAAAAAAAATTTTAAAATTTTCTTCCTAATCAGTTTTGGGTTAATCATTATCAACTCTAATCAGTTTTGGGTTTTGCGTTGTTAATTCTAATCAATTTTGGGTTTTGTATTTTTAACTCTAATCAGTTTTTGGTTCAAGAATATCTTTAGATTTGTGAGACATAATTCATATTGTTGAGAATGTGGTACCAACCTTCGAACCCAAGACCACTAGGAGTTAGTGCAAGCGCAATTAACCACAAGGGCAGGTTGAAGGCCAGTAGACATAATTCATATTGAAAGTTGAGTGAACACAAGTTATTTTTTGGGTTTTGCATCAGATCATCACAGCCACGTTGTTTTGTTTTGTTTTCTTGTCTTTCAGCAAAGAAATGGGTGAAAGGGTGTTGGAGATTTTATAAAATATATTGGAGCCGTCCCAATCTAAAAGGCTACAACTTGTCAACTACTCTCTTAGCAACCAAGTGGAAAGAATCTGATTTTCCCTTGTATTTACTAGTAGTACTAAACAATGAACATAAACACCCAAAAATGAGAAATGGGGGAAAGAAAATCAAGCCCAAATTGCAAGTAAGGACATCAATCCAGCTCCAACAAAGAGACAGCAATAAGATACAATTTGGAGCCTAAAATTGCAGCTCATCCTCTTACTCAAGAAATCAGCAGCAATGAGGTCCACCAAGGCCATGTACACCAGAATGCCAGCAGACATGGAATCCAAGATCCCTTCAGTTGCTAAAGCTCCTGGGCTGTACGGGTTGTAAAATGAAGAAATGGCCGTCCCGACGCCGATCCCCAGGGGAGTTGTGATGGCAAAAAAACAGGCCATGAGAGTTGCTGAGAGGGTCTTGAACTGGGCTTGACATATGCAGCCTCCAAGTGCAAAGCCTTCAAAGAACTGGTGGAAGGAGAGTGCTGCAACCAAGGGTCTTATGGTGCATGGGCTCTGTGAAACTCCCAGAGATAGGCCGATGATGACAGAATGTGATACAATCCCAAGTTCCAAAATCTGCACACACAAAAACCCAAAAAAGCCAAAATAATCAGTATACCAGTAAACTAAAAATCTGGACTGACCAGGCCCTTCCAAGAGGATGGCATCTGCATGGAAAAGTTTAATGTGTTTTTAAATTTTAACGAGCCTAACATTTAAATTCGAGATCAGTTTTTATTTTTAACTCTTTATTTTTTTACCCTCCGAGTATTCTTAAGTTTGGTGAAATAAAAGACTAAAACGCAAATGTGGGTTACATTAGTTGGTGAAAAAAGTGCGTCTGTCCCTATCACTCGACGTATTTTAATAATTTAGAATATTGCCCTTGGTAAAGGTCCACCTATTAGTTCATATACTGACCATCAAGAAATGGGAATATGATCATGAGTGGGCGCCACTCGACGGAGATCACTAGGCTCTAGAGTAAATTAACCAGACACGTGGCAACATGATACACACTTTTTACCTACTGCGCCAAGTACACAAGTGAAAAAGCGAAAAAAAGACGCATTCTTTTCAGGGCCGAACTTCAATAGCAATTTTGACCCAAAAAAAAAAACTTCAATAGCAATCATTAACGCGCAAACAACGACGTACCGAACCGCAAATTACAAAGGAGTCTTTGGCGGTAAATAAAAGGAAAGTACCTGAGAAACGACGACGTGCCGAACACCACTATCCTCGTCAGCATCACCGAACCCGTGAGAATGCCCGTGCCCGTGATCGTGCCCGTGTTCAAGTTCGGGTTCCCGCGCCACTTGGCCGTCACACGCGGCCTGCCCATGCGGGTGGCTGTGTCTATGGTGCGCCGCGTGCGCATGCATTCCCACTATGTGCATCCCACCGCCTTCCTCTTCCCCAAACACCTTCCCATTCCAATCCTTTGCGGGCTGCACCGCCTCAATTTCCGGTACATCCGACCCGACCCGGTTCTCGATGGGCCGGGCCAGCCCCTGTTTCCTCTCGTAATACTGCGTCCCCACAAAGTCAACGAGCAACGTGGCAAGCGAGGCCATCATGGCGAAAAAGCCCGAGAACGGAAACTTGGTCCACGGGAATTCGGGTAAACACGGGTCGTTCAACGCGTCCGACCCGGCCGTAAGCATGTGCACGAACCCGGTCGCCAGAATGACGCCGGCCGCGAAGGCTTTGGCCGCGACAAAGAGGCTGCTGTCGGTCCGGAGAAACCGGCGGTTTTTTCCGACGAGGGGAATGGCTACCCCGACGACTCCGGCGACGAGAATCGAAGCGACGGCGATGAGTTTGGGCAGGCCTCGAGGTCGGAGCTCTCGCAGCTCGTGTTGGCCATGGACTGCAAAAGCGACTCTTTTTTTGAGCGCCCAACAAAAAAAACAGAATTTGAAGAAACAGATTTTAGAAAAAGGAGACTTTTTTCGTCATTGTTATTTGTTTTCAATTTCAATTATTATCGCAGAAGCGAGATTACCTTTGAAAAACCGAGCTTTTTCTCGGAAACCAGAAGACGAGAGCAGGGGCAGAAGATCCTACACAAAACGCAGCGTTTTAATCAGAGAATCGAATCGTAGAGATATTGAAATTCATGCGTGTGCGAGAGAACGAACCTCGATGAATAACATGGGGATGTGGTTTTGTTTTTTGTGGTTTATATAAAATTTCCACCGAAATTGATTGATCTGGAAAATGCGAATCTCGATTTGATAGTTTTGGTGGGGGAAGAGGCGAATTTCAATTTGGGGGATATCTTGATGTTGTTGGGAGAAGCGGAGCACAGAAACAGACACATATACAGAGGGATGGAAAGAGAAAGAAAGAGATGGAAGAAGCAAATGGGGAGGGAGGAGGAGGGGCATTAGGAGAGAGTGTCGACATATTTTGACGAAAGCTCGCGTGCGCGAAGAGAGGCAACGGCTTCAACTTCGACCTTTTGCATCACAATGAGCGCGACAGTGTCGACACTCGGTACTCATTTTTGGATTTTAATAATTAAGTTTGCGTACATAAACCCCAAAAGGAAAAAGATAAAAAGAGAAAAACTTTTTGTGCCTTTATTATGATTCTATTTTATAGATTTTGGGAAAGAGATGAATAATGTATATCATTCAATTCATAGATTTTAAATTATAATGTGAGATTTACATATTTTTAGTTCCATATGTGATAAATAAAACGCGGAATAAAATCAAGAATCGAAATCATTTCTAATCTGTTTAATAATGACCTCATCTCACAACTTGGTCAAGTAATTGGAGTATTTTCATATTGGGAATTGATGCAGGAATCAGATACTTACAGTGATTTAGCTTTGGGGAATTGTTGCTAGTTGACATTTGATTAGACTGAAAAGAAGTGCATGGTTCAGACGTAACCATAATCTCATCTCAACCGAATTTCTTTTTCTTTTCAAAAAAAATGGACAATGTAAATGATTGCGTATAAGGCTAGTAGATTACGACTTTGTGCTTCTACGTTATAATGTCGTCATATATGATATTTAGAACGAAGTTGTCTATGCATGATATTCTTCTATTTTGAAGTTGAAGCCTGCTAGTGCTACTCCCACCTTCTTTTGTTCATGTAACCTCCTCCAGGACAATGTAAATGATTGCGTATAAGGCTAGTAGATTACGACTTTGTGCTTCTACGTTATAATGTCGTCATATATGATATTTAGAACGAAGTTGTCTATGCATGATATTCTTCTATTTTGAAGTTGAAGCCTGCTAGTGCTACTCCCACCTTCTTTTGTTCATGTGACCCTCCGCTCATGACCCAAAAAATATTCCATTTTTCCCTTTACAAGAAGAAAGACAAAGCTAAACTGAGGTGAGAAGCCAATATGATCTCAGTGGATATGTGGCGTATTGAGTAAAACACTGCTGATGATGACATGGTCACATGGTGGTGACCACCGGGAAGCATGAAACAGCCGCCGCGCTTTTTGTAATAAATATTTTGCGGTCAGATCTGTTCAAAACTTTCCTGATCTTGATGTGATTTTGATTTATGATAAAGGACTAACTTCATTTTAGTCGCCACAAGTTTAGGGTCAGTATTGAAATGGACCCCGAGATTTCAATTTCATCAATTTCATACCCAACGTATTCAAATATGACCAATTCACCCCGTCTGTTAGATTGACCGTCTGGTCAAATGTTAAATGTTGATGTGTCAATGGTGAGACCCGCCACAGACCCTGACAATCCACTCCAACTAGTCCAAGTAAAGGGCATTTCTGGAAAAAAAAAAAATTTAAGACCAAAAAACAAAACAAAAAACAAAAAAATCCCTAGCTCTAGCAACCCTCTCTCTCCATCTCCCATCCACCCTTCGTCAACCCTCCACAGATCTCCCTCCCCCAATCAACCCCAAGCCCTCCCCAACCCAAAACACGATCAAACATCCAAAATAAGATCAACCTCACAATCAGAACCAAATAACTCACTAGCCTTATAAGTTGTTGCTCCAAATCCATAATTACCTGAACCTAAAAAACCTAATTTGTCCAATCCAATCGAACTGAGCCACAGAAAGAGAGAAATAGAGGGAGGAGGATGGGGATGACAAAGAGAGGGGGAGAGGGAGGAAGAGAAATAGAGAAATAGAAAGTGGGTCGGGTATGGCCCTAGTGGATTAGGGGGATGAGGACGAGAAGGTGAGGGTTATTGTTATTGATTGCTTGTTTGTTTTTTTCTTTTGGTTTAATTTTTTTTCTTGGGTAATTCTGAGTTAGTTGGAGGTGGGTTTGGGATTTGTAGTTAGTGAAGTGGTGGACAGTGTGATTTATTTGATGTTTTTTTCTTTTTCTTTTTCTCTTTGATTTATTGGGAAAGTTTACTGTTTGGATATGAAATTCTTAAGAATATTGGTAATTTTGTTCTTGAGTTTTTCCGAAACTTTTTGGTGGATGAGGACTTCAACCTCACCCTCAACGCCAGTGATCGATGCCTCCTCGTCGAATCCAACCGTGTGTGCGTGAGCTTTTTGTTGTTGTTATGTTGTTGCCGTTTTGGGAAGGTGTTTGAATGAAATGGAAAGACGAGTTTTAACAGCCAAGATATGATTCACGAGTGTAGCTAGGAGTTTCTGGGTTTTAGTTGTGTTGGCACTAAAAACTGAACAGATAGAGATGAGTGCAACTTACAAGCGGTGAGGACGATCTAGCAGATCGATTGAATGATAGATACAGATTCTTCCTGTCCTTGGATGCCGATCCTGAATAGAAAGAAGTCGAGACTCGTAAGGTCTATGGAACCGGTGTGGAACCAGCCTAAGACCCTCCGATGCCGAAGTAAGTTTGTTGTTTTAAGAGCTCTTGTTGTTGACCATATAGAAGTATAAAAGTCAAGCTCAAAAGTTTTACCTCTGTATTGTAGTGAAGGGGCCTATTTATAGAGGGCATTTTGTATGCTCTTGGTACTCATTTTCGATGTGGGACTCGTGGGAGGGCCCTATGAGGTTGACACGAGTCCTTAGATATGTCGGGCGGGTGCTTCGAGGTTGATTCTGCAGAATCGGTAAGGGATACCGATTGTAGGCTGTGTTGGGCCTGTAGCGATCTTTTGCTGCTTTGAGACAATATCATCGGTAGCCGATGCTGATTGTTTGGAGCCTTGGGCACTTGGGGAGTTTCTATGATCCACATGTTAATGGATGAGTGGAGGATTAGATATGGTACAAACAAGTTGCAACTGGTAAAACTAAAGACATTGTAATGAGCAAATACACATAATTGAATACTTTATGCATCCTTGTCTCCACCATTTTTTTTGCAAGATCACCAACCCCTTCCAATTGAGAGAAATCACTACTGGAACGCACATAATGAATATAAATCTCAAGTTGATCTTCAAGTGCCAAACAATCCTCATCCGAAAAGTCTTGAGGATAAAATCGAGCAAGACGAAGTAACTTTGGTTTATCAAAAGCTACAAATGAATTTTTCGGACTCAAACATGCCAAACAAATAAGCAACTCGGTATTTACCTCATTAAAGCGATCTTCTAACTCCGTAATTTGCTCATCAATGACATAAATGAAGAGCTCCACACGATAATGATGACGATTGGTCTTTATTGGAGCATTACGCCTTGACCTCCCTGGAAGTATAAATGTGTCTGCCGCGCAAATCTCACGGCCTGGAGTTCCGGGCCGAGGGGATGTGCGTTAACACGCGGTTTCCTGCTTTTGGGTGCGGTGCGGTTGTGCGCGGGCGTGCCAGCACGGTCTACCGTGCGTCGATGTGTTGATGAGTGTTGGATGGATAAGTGGTGCGCCTGTTTGAACTGTCTTCCTAGTCAAACGATTGTAGCCGAGAGAGGAACTGGTCTCGGCTGTTAGGTTCACAGCCTGAACTACAAGGCCGTTAAGTGATGGTGTTGGTGGTGGGTTTTGGGCGGTGCTCCGGCGCGCTGCTCAGGGAGCGACGGTCGTGTGATATATGGGGTGAGTGAACGAACAACAAGGATGGTGCTCCGGCGCCTTGAAACTCAAGGGTCGTATGATATATTGATGAATGGATTTTCCTTACAAT